CTCTAACTGATATCCAGTTTATCTTGTGTCAAGTATTTTTGGTTTGAATTCCTTGTTCTGCCCTTCTGCCTCTCCAGGCTAGAGTATCTGTTTTGTTAACCACTGTAGACCCAATGTTCAGCACAATGGTTGACATGTAGTGAGTCCTCAAATAATTTTTTTAAAATTAACTTCAAAACGAGGGGATGCCACTTAACAGCATTTTGCTATTTTTAGAGAGCATTCCCAAAGTCTTGACTTCCGTCGATATTGTTCTCTGCTAAAAAGTCTGAAAGTCAAACTCTGAACAGTTTCGTAATATAACATACCATCAGGTTGTCTATTTGCATAATTGGTTTTTGGAGATTCAGTTCAACATTTTGCATTCATCCTGACCAATTGTATCTCCTTAGGGCCTGTTTTTCCAGAGACAGAGCTTAGAAACCTGGAGTTTTCTCCTCCAAGTAGCAACATATTTGTACATTTGGCAAATGTGATTTCTGATTCTCCATCCTACCTGTGGCTTATGATACTGGCCAAGTCTTGTAGATGGTTAGGATTTGTTATCCTTAGACATAGGTTTTCTTGGTTGATTTAAAGTGAAGTCCTTGGCTATTTGGGGAAGACAAAAGGCCAGACCTTTGTCATTACATGAAATTGTCCTCAAAGCTCCATTTTGATTGATTTCCTTTGTTAGCAGTACTCTCATAATAGCTTTAAAAAAAAATCATTGAAAGTACACTTTCTGTAAAGTCTCTTTTGTGTGTAGATGTTTGAAGGCTCTGTCCACTTATTTTTTTCTTAATTTAATTTTTTTCTTGTATTATTTTATCTGCCTCTAGAAACCAAGTAGGGGTGTGTGTGTGTGTGTGTGTGAATTTTCGAGTGAAAAAAAAAATGAAATGTTAAAGAAAAATGAAAAAAAAAATCCTCCACCCACACATACCTGCTTTCATTTTGCTTACTGCCTTCAAATTCTCTTCATATTTGTATGTTTCACAGGTATGATATACACGATGTTTTGTATATTTTCATTCAATATTCAAAGTAGATTAGCAGGTTAATAATTATTTAATGGCTGTATTCTAGCATACTGTTACTCAAATATGTATTCCATTCATCCCCTCCCACTGGACATTTAGCGAGAAGCCAGTATGATTTTATTATTAGAAATAACGTGGCAGCAGATATTTTCATATACATAGTGCAGCTTAAGTGAGATCAGACGTGCTACCTAAATGAAATAAGGTATACCAGTCTTTAATGTTTTGTGTTAACTTTTGCCATGCTACTTTCAAAAAGGATCATACTGGTCTACAATACCACCAAGTGGGATATGACTATATGGATTTGTAACAAGGGTGCTTCTCTTTGATTTTCTTAATTTGGCCTATTTTTGACAATAGTATCAATAAGAGTAACAGTAGCAACAATAGCAACAGCTAGCATTCTTAAGATAGATTATGTGGCAGGACTTAAATTAAGTGCTTCAGTGGTTAAAGATGTGAGCTCTGGAGGCAGACTTCCAAAGTTCGAATCCCCCGCTTACCCTCTATTTACTTCCATTTCCTCCATTGTAAAATAGTTTTTAGGGTCCTTATAAGGGTCAGGAGAGTTAATACAGTATAGAGCCTAAGTAAGCACAGGATAATTGTTGGTTATTATTCATAATAAAGGGTGTTGTTATTAGTCCCATTTTACAGATGAGGAAACTGAGATATTGAATGTCTTTCTCAAGGTAACACAGACAGTGAAGAGTTGGGACTGTCTTGGGAAGAGTTGGGACATTTGGGCTGAGATTCCAAATGTCCTTTTTCTGACCAAAATATTCTGTCACCTCCTATGCAGAGATCACCATTTATATCCAAGAAGAAGTGTTACTGTTAGTGCTGAGTTAAATCAAGGCTGAATTAAGTACAGAAAATGAGAATATAAGGTCACTGTGATCCCCTGGAAATGCCATGGCATAAATCTTTGTTCCCAGGACAAACAATAAAGCTGTTTCTGTATGGTGCCATCTTCACTGAGATCTGAAGGTAGTTCCATATAGAATTGTGAAATCCCCCTAAATCAGGCGTCCTCAAACTATGGCCCGTGGGCCACATGCGGGTGTTTTTGCCTGTTTGTTTTTTTACTTCAAAATAAGATATGTGCAGTGTGCATAGGAATTTGTTCATAGTTTTTTTTTAAACTATAGTCTGGCCCTCCAATGGTCTGAGGGACAGTGAACTGGCCCCCTGTTTGAAAAGTTTGAGGACCCCTGCCCTAGATGATAAAGATACAAAGGACCGGGTAGGTAGACATCCCCAGTACTCATGCAGGGCCCTGCAAATGCTGTTTTCTGTTAAGGAAAGCCCTCTACAAATACCTCCTGACCTGAATTTCTCCTAAGTATTCCCATAAACACTGTTGGTTATCTCTTAATGTACTTGGTTCATAACTGCTTAGTCAATTATTTTTATTAGCATAACATTATTTTTAAGCATTATGATATTGGAAAAACAAATGATGTAAGCACATTTTCTCAGCTATGGCTGATTGCAAGTTGTGTTTTTGTTTTGTTTTTGTTTTTTTTACTTTCTTCGCAGATTTGATGAATTAATTATAAATTTCCCAAAGGGGATCTAATGTGAACCAATCTTTGCCTTTTATTCTCGCATGCTTAGTTTCCATTCTAGTCCCAGTGACTATCCATTGAGAACAAAGTTTATTGCCAAGGGCTCCTAAAATTGCTGATATAACATACGTTCTCCAGATAACCTGATTCCAATTTTCATAATGAACAAATGCCTTCTTTCTCCCCCCATCTCTTTGCTCAAATAGCTATTTGTGGAGACCACTGATGTCAATGGCAAAACTCTTGAGGGACCGGTGCCTCTGGAAGTCATTGTGATTGATCAGAATGACAACAGACCGATCTTTCGGGAAGGCCCCTACGTCGGCCACGTCATGGAGGGGTCACCAACAGGTATGTTGAGTTGGCTTGTCATTGGCATAATGGCTTGGAAAGTGGTACACTATGTTCTTTTGGGATTTGGCAGACTGTTTTATTGCTGTTCCAATTTGTTGGCATGTATCAACATGGACGTATCACTTCCCTGGGTAGAAGCTAGCATTGGAAGGCTGAAGTACAGAGCACGACCAGGGTGTTGCAAGCTGTGGAAATATCTTCCATTGTCTCTGACAATAATCCTCCAGTGATGACCGCCATCATCGAAGCGTCTAATGCACAGCTGATGCTGGGCACCACGTGAATATCTAGCTCACCCCTTTGAGGCCTGAGGCTGAACTTTGTGCTAGAGTGGAGCTTTGATGAGAATAAGGTTCCCACTACAAGCTCCTCACTTATTTCTTTTCATAATTGCCTTATAATAAGAACTATTTTGGTAAAACAGGTAGGACTTTTTTTCCCCCTTTCTTGGAAGATGTACATGGAGAAGATGTTTGTCAAAAGGCCAAAGGCAAGATATTTTATCTCTCTCTGTGGAAATATTGGTACCTACTGTTACAGAAATCACTCAAGGTTATGACAGAGCTCCTGCTATCTTTGTCCTCTGTTTAACCCTTCTATCGGGGCAGGTTTTAGAATTGAGAGCTCTCTTTTTTGGTTCAGTACATAGTAATTAAAGTATTCTGTGGCCAGCAGCAGAAGTTACTTCTCAGTATAATGCTTGAGAATGTGAAGAATGAAATATAAAAATTCCTGTTAGGCTAGACTTTGACTTGAAGCTTTAGCATATATTTGAGTGAAAAAACACTGTATTAATGGTGACACTGTTGCTGCGTCTAGATTATACCCAATCAAATAAGGAAAATAGTCCTTTAGCAGAGATCAGATGAGAGATGGAAGCCTAAGAACTGCTTTCACTGTTTTTTCTTTCCCCCTTTCACTGACTTGATGGGATGTATCAATGACATGTAGATACATGAGGCTCTGGAAGCGTTGCCATGGTAACCTTCCTGGACTCCCAGGTGAATAATTGTATGCAAGATGCCTAAAACCTCCCTTCAGCTTCAAGGAGCTGGGTCTCCAAGCACTTCACCGGATCCCTCAAGGGCAGGAGCGACCCTCTGCCTTCCCAGCTTTGAAAACCTTCTGCAAAAATAAGAGTGGATTCCCCATGCTGGAGAGTGTTTGGGGAAGTGGTGGAGGCAGAGGAGTAATGATAGGCTGGAGGGAAGGAGAGAGGGCAGGTGAAGGTAGGTCAGGTCACTTCAGGGCCGACTGTCCACAGTGCTCTGCTCAGTAGGCTGCTTTTGATGGCGAGATAGCTTCTGGTGAGAGAGAGCCTGGAATTTGAATTTGATGTTTATAGAAATCTTCTTAAACAAGCTGATGTGCACAGCAAGTTCGGAGAACTGATGGGGAAAGACATTAAAGAGGCCAGAGTTTGAGCAGAACAGAGAAACCATTCCCTGTTTGCATCTGTGGTACCCCGGCCCCGGCCGTGACTGACTAGAATTCGGATGGGCCAGAAAAGTCTTCTAAATGTAAATGATGGAGGTGACAGTCAAGGCGGCTGTGCGCCTGCACATGTCTTTGTATATTATATGTGTATATGATTAGATGATGTCCAATTTTCCTGCCACAGTGTCCTTCCTTAAAGTTTAGGAAAGAATTTTGGATTTGATTGCTTTATATACATGGCATACTTTTGAAGAAAAATAGAATCTTTTATGCATATTGAATTTCTTAAAACACAAAGCTATTCAGTGACGAATAGATGCTTCTCCTGCAAAACACAAACCACTTCAAATGTCCATTTATGATTGGTATTATCCTATAAAACGCATAAACACTGGGATGGTTGTATGGATGTATGTATGTATGTAACTTCCTCTGGCTATGCAGAATTTGGTCCGATGCATTGTTTTCTTTTTCAGCACCCTCTGAGTTTGACTATAGAGCAGGAATTGGTCATATTGGGGGTCAAGAATGTGGAAATGTTGCAAAACGCTTTTAGAAGAAAAGCTACTTATATTGCTTAGCACCCTGTAAGACAGTTATAGGCAAGATGGCTCCTGACGCATTTGGAAGGACAGTGGGAATTTGGGAAAGAATCCCTTCTCTAACCAAAACCATTAAAAGTTATAGCAACAAACACTGGCTATGAAAACGATCAGCTCTCCTATTTCCGTAATGCTCTCCTTAATTATGGCTCATAGACTCCTACATGTTGTAGACATTGTACAGACCCATTTTACAGAGGGGGACACTGACCCAGGAAATGTTCAGTGGCTTTTCCCAGTTCACACAAGTCAGAGATGGGGGACAGTGTTTGGGATTCAACCTTCATAATCTACCTTCAAATCACGTATTCTTTCAACTGTTCCACAAATTTTACGGTGAAAACAGCCACCAGACTATCATGGCATTGAGTCGAGCACTTACTATGTGCTAGGGGCTTTATGTCACCACAGCATCTCATCCACTGTACCACCTCCTACCCTTTGAGGTGGACACCACCATCCTTACCTTACAGAGGAGAAAACTGAACATCAAAGAGGTTTGGGAACTTGCCCAAAGTTCCACGGTTGGTGGAGGACACAGAATCATTGCCCTTGCCTCTGGCTTCAGAACTTGATGAATAGTTCCTCATTCTGCTGATAAGATGCTGCCACATCTGCCTCCATTCTCTGGTCAGATACTAGCCGGATCTGCTCTGGCCTCCTGCTCAGACTAGTCCACATCCATGCACAACAGCCCACATTTCTTCCTGGCCTTGGTTGAGCCACGAGAAATCTATCCAATCTCTTCTCCTGCTCCCATGGTTTGCACCATGGACTCCTCGCATGCCTAGTTATGGAGAAGTATTTGTGCAGTTCTATCAGGTGACCTAATTTAGGTCTTGATAGAAAATAAATAGCTCTTCTGATCAGACAGCTAGGCTCTCTGAGTCACCTTCAGTATAATGGGATCTGTTGCTCAGGATCTAAGGTTAAATAGGGTCCAATATTGAAGCCCTTGTTATCACTTACATCACTTTCTTCTGAGCCCACATAACCAGCGACATCTTTGCGGGGTGTACAGCTCACTGAGCCTCATGCTCAGGAGTTCCTGGTGCTTGGGTTAATGATCTGTTACCATCTTGAAAGTCTTAATAATTGTTGAACAAAGGGCCCTACCTTTTCACTTTGTACTGAGCCCTGCAAATTATGTAGCTGGTCCTGTTCACTGCAATGTAGCCTAGAGCTGGGTTGTATGCCTGGCTCAGCTCCTTCACAAGGTGAGACCTTGGGCAAGATGCTGAACCTTCTAGAAGCCTCAACTGCCTGGTCTGTAGTAAGGGCAAAATATAAAGTACCTACCTTAGAGAAAGATATGTGAAGATTAAATGAGACATTGTGCTTCACTCAGTGCTGAGAACATAGTATTCATGTTCAAGAAATGCCTTTATAGTATTAATACAGGGATTATTATTTTTGTTCCAGCATGTACCCTTTAGCAAAGGTAAAGCAAAGAGACTCGCAGTTTGTGTGAAAGAGAATTCATCTCCCAACAAGCCAAGCATCATTTTCATGTTCCCATGTATTCGAATGCCCTCAGGACCAATCCATCACAAAGGAAGGTCACCTGTATTCATCTGTATGTGCAGACAGGAAACCGTTCCCAGCTGCTCAGCACTAAACTCCAGGGTATTGTTTTGGGAAATCATTCTTGGATGAAGGAAGATCAACAGAAAATAATGGTCTTTGAACTTTGCAGATCATGAGCTGTTCCTTTTGCCGAGACATAGGCATTGATTTATGGGGCCCGAGCCCAGGCTCTGGCTCTCCATGGGGGCCAGCCAGATCTCTGTGTGAATCTGGTGTTTTCTGAATGCCTAAAATACAACAAGACCTCTCAGTATGGGGTGGAGGGCTGGGACCCTTGAAATTCCTGTGGAACTCTCATCTCCACAGTGGCTTTCTGGCACCAGTTCACGGTGGTTTGCCACCAGTAGTCTACTGAGCACCTTTGAGAAGAGCTGACCATGATAAAGGGCATGCCAGGCTCCCCCAAAGTAGACCCCGAGATGGGGATTAGGGCATGTGGTTTACCTTAAAGGTACAGGGACAGCAGATCAGAAATCGTACGGAGAAAGGAAGGTAACTGATTTGAGGTGCAATATTAGAGCTGCTACCCGAGTGGGCAATCGGAGCTTTATCCATTCGGGGGAGCTTCAAGAAATGTCATTAAATATACACATTGAAGTTATCCCAGCCACAGGGCCAGGTAGCTGGGCTGTCTATCCCACTAAGCCTTATGATGGGCATTGGCTAAGAGCTATCCTCAGGGGCATTTTAATTTCCAGACCCTTTCAGCCTGCCATCTACAGGGGCAACCTGCGGTCCAGCAGCAAGAGTACCTAGTACTCATAAGGTCTTGGCCATGGGGTAGCCCCACTATGCTCTTCCTTCATGCTTTTAGCCACCGTGAATGGCACTCCCCAGCCTGGACAGGTGGGGCAGCTTTGAGAGATGTCAGTGCAGAGAGGTCACGTGAGGAGTGTACCAGTTCCTAACCTGTACGGCTGAGGGAGATGAACATGGCGCTTACCTGGAAGTACATGTTCTGAGTCAGGAGAGATGCACGTCGCTTAGGTTATGTGCTGATACTTCTCGGGTTGTTGAAGACGAGCAGAGATGAGCAGTTACATCCTCAGCTTCTAACTTCTGAAAACCCAACCACTCACGCCCTCTCCTTTCCTCTCTTGCTCCCTTTATTTTTTTTTTTTTTTCCATCCAGTATTTTGACTGAGCATCTGCTCTGTGCTGGCCCTGTTCTGAGCTCTGAAGTACAGCAGTGGACCTGACACACTGCTCCTGCCCTCCCGGTGTTCACAGCCAAGCATAGGGACAGGCAGTGGATAAATAAGAATCACAGTCGTGGCTAGTGCTGAAACATGGCCCTACTGGACGCTTACCCCAGGAGGGACCAGACCTAGTCTTATTGTGCGAAATTCTTTCTGCAGGGGGATGTAAGGG